TTGGTGATGCTGTTGATTACTGTTCGACTGTTGTTGTTGTTGGTGATGGTGGTGGTGATGCTGTGTGTTGTTGTTGTTGTTGTTATGTTGTTGTTGGTGGTGATGGTGATGGGTAATGGCATCATCTTTGCGCTGTTCTTCTCGTTCTTTGGCTTTTCCTTGTTCGTCATACATTCTCACGTCTTTTTTTTTTGTTTCTCTCTTTCTATCTTTCTTATTCTTCTGGGGGAAAAATGGGGAAAAAAAAGGTGAGAAATATTATGCAAAATTATCCTCTTTCGATATTCTTATTTTATAATTATTATTCAACATTCCATCGCCTCATTTATATCTCCCTATCTACTTCATTCTCTCTTCTCCTGTTTATTCCTCCTCCTCCTCCTCCTCCTCCTCCTCTCAGTTACAACTTCATTCCTTCCCTCCCCCCTCTATCCTGGTCTCTCAGTCTCTCTCTCTCTCTCTCTCATTTGTCTTCCTCCCATGTATGTATATGTATGTATATGTATGTATATGTATGTATGTAGGTATATGTATGTATATGTATGTATATGTATGTATATGTATGTACATATATATATGTGTGTGTGTGTGTGTGTGTGTGTGTGTGTGTGTGTGTGTGTGTGTGTGTGTGTGTGTGTGTGTGTGTGTGTGTGTGTGTGTGGACATATACATGTATGCATATATATGTATGTATGCATATGTATGTATGCGTATGCATATATTTATGTATGCATGTATGAATATATGTATAAGTACATGTATATATGCACTTATAGATAAGTATGTATATATGTATGTTTGGATATATATGTATATACGCATGTGTATGTATGGATGTAAGTATGAATATATATATATATATATGTATGTATGTTTGTATATGTATATGTATATATAAGTAAGTATACATTTATATATGTATGTATACGGATGCATATCTATATATGAATGTATGCGTGTATGCATGTATGTGTATGCATGCATGTGTGTATATACAGTGTGAATGTGAGTGAGTGGGTGGCTGAGTGAGTGAGTGAGTGAGTGGGTGAGTAGGTAGGTAGGTAGGTGGATGGGTGAGTAGGTAGGTGGGTGGGGGAGTAGGTAGGCAGGTAGGCAGGTAGGTAGGTAGGTGGATGGGTAGGTAGGTGAGTGGGTGGGTAGGTAGGTGGGTGGGTGAGTAGGTAGGTAGGTGGGTGGGTGAGTAGCTAGGTGGGTGGGTGGGTGAGTAGGTGGGTGGGTGAGTAGGTGGGTGGGTGAGTAGGTGGGTGGGTGAGTAGGTGGGTGGGTGAGTAGGGGTGGGTGAGTAGGTGGGGGGTGAGTAGGTGGGTGGGTGAGTAGGTGGGTGGGTGAGTAGGTGCGGTGGGTGAGTAGGTGGTGGGTGAGTTAGGGTGGTGGGTGAGTGGGTGGGTGGGTGACGTGGGTGGGTGGGTGAGGTAGGTGGTTGGTGGTGTGAGTAGGTGGGTGGTGAGGAGGTGGGTGGGTGAGTAGGTGGGTGGGTGAGTAGGTGGGTGGGTGAGTAGTGTGGGTGGGTGAGTAGGTGGGTGGGTGAGTAGGTGGGTGGGTGAGTGGGTGGGTGGGTGAGTAGGTGGGTGGGTGGGTAGGTGGGTGGGTGAGTAGGTGGGGTGGGTGAGTGAGTAGGTGGGTGGGATGCGTGAGTAGGTAGGTAGGTAGGTAGGTAGGTAGGTAGGTAGGTAGGTAGGTAGGTAGGTAGGTAGGTGAGTGGGTGAGTAGGTAGGTAGGTGAGTGGGTGAGTAGGTAGGTAGGTGAGTGGGTGAGTAGGTAGGTAGGTGAGTGGGTGAGTAGGTAGGTAGGTGGGTGGGTGAGTAGGTAGGTAGGTGGGTGGGTGAGTAGGTAGGTAGGTGAGTGGGTGAGTAGGTAGGTAGGTGAGTGGGTGAGTAGGTAGGTAGGTGAGTGGGTGAGTAGGTAGGTAGGTGAGTGGGTGAGTAGGTAGGTAGGTGGGTCTGTGAGTAGGTAGGTGGGTGGGTCTGTGAGTAGGTAGGTGGGTCTGTGAGTAGGTAGGTAGGTAGGTAGGTAGGTAGGTAGGTAGGTGGGTGAGTAGGAACATTGGTGGGTGGGTGAGTAGGTAGGTGGGTGGGTGAGTAGGTAAGTAGGTAGGTGGGTGGGTGGGTGAGTAGGTAGGTGGGTGGGTGAGTAGGTAAGTAGGTAGGTAGGAGGGTGGGTGAGTAGGTAGGTGGGTGGGTGAGTAGGTAGGTAGGTGGGTGGGTGAGTAGGTAGGTAGGTGGGTGGGTGAGTAGGTAGGTAGGTGGGTGGGTGAGTAGGTAGGTAGGTGGGTGGGTGAGTAGGTAGGTAGGTGGGTGGGTGAGTAGGTAGGTAGGTAGGTAGGTAGGTAGGTAGGTAGGTGAGTAGGTAGGTAGGTAGGTAGGTAGGTAGGTAGGTGGGTGGGTGAGTAGGTAGGTAGGTAGGTAGGTAGGTAGGTGGGTGGGTGGGTGAGTAGGTAGGTGGGTGGGTGGTCGAGTAGGTGGGTGGGTGGTCGAGTAGGTAGGTAGGTAGGTGGGTGGGTGAGTAGGTAGGTGGGTGGGTGGGCGAGTAGGTGGGTGGGTGGGCGGGTAGGTAGGTAGGTAGGTAGGTAGGTGGGTGGGTGGGTGAGTAGGTAGGTGGGTGGGTGGGCGAGTAGGTAGGTGGGTGGGTGGGTGAGTAGGTAGGTGGGTGGGTGAGTAGGTAGGTGGGTGGGTGGGCGAGTAGGTAGGTGGGTGGGTGAGTAGGTAGGTAGGTAGGTGGGTGGGTGAGTAGGTAGGTAGGTAGGTAGGTAGGTAGGTAGGTAGGTAGGTGGGTGGGTGGGTAGGTAGGTAGGTGGGTGGGTGAGTAGGTAGGTGGGTGGGTGGGTGAGTAGGTAGGTGGGTGGGTGAGTAGGTAGGTAGGTAGGTAGGTAGGTAGGTAGGTAGGTAGGTAGGTAGGTAGGTAGGTAGGTAGGTAGGTAGGTGGGTGGGTGGGTGGGTGAGTAGGTAGGTGGGTGCGTGGGTGAGTAGGTAGGTGGGTGCGTGGGTGAGTAGGTAGGTGGGTGGGTGAGTAGGTGGGTGGGTGGGTGAGTAGGTAGGTAGGTGGGTGGGTGAGTAGGTAGGAGGGTGGGTGGGTGAGTAGGTAGGTGGGTCGGTGGGTGGGTTTTGGGTGGGCGGGTGGGTGAGTGAGAGTGAGAGGAGTATAATACATGTATAATATATGTATAATAAATATATGTATAATATATGTATAATATATATATATATATATATATATATATATATATATATATATATATATAATATACACTCTTATCCTCTTTCTCTTTCACTTTTCAACAACTTTCTTCCCTTTTTACGTTCCTATATATCAGTATCTACCTGCAACTTTACATATAATTTTATTTGTATATGCAAGCACTGAAAATCAAATGGTATTAGGAAATGCCTTAAAAAAACAAAGTAAAAAAAAAAAAAAAAGACAAACACACAGTACATATACATAATATGATTCTTTTTAATTAATTATCTTGTAGTTTATTCAATCATTTATTATTTTTTATCTTAGCAAGACTGACACGACGAATACTTGTTGTCCTTTGCCAGAGCGCGATGTCTACGGAGTCCAGCATCGGTTCGTGTTTATCCGCTGACTTCGGTTCAACTAAAGACTTAGCTTCACTTTTATCTTATTTTAAGTTCGTATTATGACTGTTATATTATTTCTATTCTTACTCTATATATATACACGGTCTTCAGAGATTTAATCTTCGCTTTTATTCATCTTTACTTCTATCTCCATCATCATCTACTGGACTCTCCTACTCCCCCCCATCCTCCACTATCCCCTTCCATTCACCTCCTTCCGTCTACTAAAACTCAAATAACTTCCTTCCAAACGAGCGGTTTCATTTTTATTCCAAAAATCCCAAATGACCCGGCAATCAATGTTTACAATCGCGTTTATAGAAATGGACACTTACCAAGAGCAAGGGAGCACTTGAACACGGAACAATCGACAGGGAACTTGCTTTAGAAACGGGAAGAAGAGAACTGGCCATTTAAACCCATTAAAGTTCCGGTCACATAAGCCTTTTAGAAGAAGACAGGCTTACCAACTTGATATCATTCGGATAGTTTTTATAAGGCTTTTAATATATGTTGATTTTGTTCTCTGTTTGTGTGGTTTGGGTTTATTGGTTTGTGTGATTTAGCAAGGGTTATTTTGTTTGTTGTTTGTGTGCGTTTTGGCTCGATTTGAGGGTTGGGTGTGTCTGTTTTGTTTACGTTTGGCGGTTGGTAGCACTGGGTCGTCGGATATGTGGGTGATCTTCCTTCTTTCTAATTAGTAATTGGGCAATCTGGCTTGTTAGGTACTTGGGTTGTTTGATAGTTTTCCCTTTCGTTGATTATTTTTTTCCCCGCTTTATTTTAATAGATGTAATTGTTTTCTGTACGGAAGTTGCATCGTTTCATTTTCAAATATAAAATTCGTGTTTATTAAGTTGAAAACGAAAATAACACAATTCGTAGATCTGTTTAAACAAGATTGCAAATATTATATATACAAATGCATACATGTGCATATATTTATATATGCACTCACACATATACACATACAGACATATGTGTATATGTATATATATATACACTTACACACACATACACGCATACATATATATAAATAAACATATATATATATAAATATATATATATGTATGTATGTATATATATTTATGAATGGTAAAACACTCTACCGTGTTGATACTATGGTAGAAAAATCCAAAATGCACAAACTACATTTATTAATAATAAGAACAGTTTCGAAATCTACCTAGATTCCATCATCAGGTCTGAAGATATATATGTATATATTCTTACATATACATATACACTACATATATGTACATATATATATATATATATATATATATATATATTCATGGATACATATATCCGTATATATATGTATATAAATATATACAAATATATGCATTAAATATGTATATATACATATAAAAATACACATACACATATATATATGTATATATGTATATGTACATACATGCCTTTATATATATATATATATATATATATATATATATATATATATATAGATATATAGATATATTCACACATATGTCGTTATTTGTATACAGTATATATATGAATACGAGAGTGAATGTAAGTATATATCTATATATATTTGTATATATACATGAATACACACACACAAACACACTCGTGTAATATATATATATAAGTATACACACAGTGTGTGTGTGTTTGTGTACGTGTGTGTATTTGCTATTATTATATATCTTTTACTCTGAATATGTGAAAACGCTGTTTATAGCATGCGTGTTCATTCGTGCAAGAAGGAAAATCTCCGGATGCTCATAATCTTATCCGTTGCACTATCGATTGTCTGTATTATGAATTCCTCCCTCATGGAAGTTAAGATTATGATTTATAGAACACGAATGACAGATATGAATTTCACGCGTAACACGTATGAGTCGCCAGCATTCATGTGAGGAAAAATGACATAGTCGTAGCCAGTACCAATAATTATGTTTGAATTTTATATCTATCTTGGTTGTTGTTTACGAGTGATTGTTTTCTTGAGTATGGACATATTCTGTATTAGTATTATCATGATTTCATCTATATTTTATAACTGATAGTAATGTGGGAAGTGGGACTGGGAGATATTAGTGAGGATTGATGTAAAAGTTGCCATAAGAGCTATAAAGAATTTTCATCTTTTGCAATCATACACTGCGGTACAGACACACGGACATAAGCTTCGTGGAAAAAAAAAACTAAACCAAACAGAAGGAATCAATCCATTACTATGCAAACTGGCGGTTATCGACACTTACTACTCCATAATTATACGAACGCTCCCTCACCTTCTAAACCCCCTCTCCCCCCCTCCCTCACCTTCTAAACCCCTCTCATCCCCCTCCCCTCCCCACCCTCCAGGCTCCCTTTCCCTTTCATTCTACAGTTTAACTCATGGCAACTCTGTAATTAAAGATGCCGTGACGTGTCTCAGTTCTTCAGCCTTCTTCTCCTCCCATGTTCGCTAATTTCAGTATTTAGACGCATAACCTTCCGGGAAAAATGGGTCTGAATTTGATCGAGTATGGACGATGGTTTATTTTTTTTTCCCGCGCGCGCCAAGACGACCGTATTTGTATCTTTTCGCGCGAACGTCTCTTTAGCGCGTGATTTATCCACCTCCGGTCACACTCAGGTGGCATTTCCTTGTTTTAGGATAATTGGAATATAAATATGAATGTTTTTTTTTTAACCTTTTTTTTTTTTTTTTTTTTTTTTTTAAGAGAGAAGGATTTTTTTTTCTTAGGAGGAATAGAACTTTTTTTTTTCTTGTGTGTTCGATTTTTTTTCTTTCTTTTCTTTTCTTTTTTTTCGTCCTTTGTCTCTCTCTTTTTTCTCGTCGTTATCTCTTGTCTTCCTTTCTTTAGCCCTATTTGTTGCCCCCCCCTCTCACTTTGAAATCAAAATATTTAAATTATTGTCATTTGGTTCTATTACACTACAAGATTCGCGCAATTGAACAAAAATACTTTCAGTAAATAATAATGCTAGTGATAATAATAATTAATAATAATAATAATGATAATGACAGCAATAAAAATAATGATAATGAAAAGAGAAGAAAGAAAGAAAGAAAGAAACTAAAGAAAGAGAGACAATTTCCCTCCCCGCGCCAATTCATTCCATCAAACGATATTGTCGATAAGCTGTCCTTCCTAATCACCCTAATTATGGAGAAGATAATATGACGAATTTTTTAAACGCTAAATTCCTTAATGACAACCGAAGATTGAAGAGATATTTAAGGATGCAAGATTTCGACGCTAATCATTTCAATGGCGGCGTAAAAAGAAAAAAAAGAAGTCCATTTTCGCGCCTTTGATCGACGAGAGGCATCTAGCGGCTGAGATTAGAAGATTAAAAGTGAGGCTTTATGGCGCGTGTTTTCTTGTCTTGAAATCTTTTTGTTGTTGTTTTTGTTTTTGTTCTTAGTAATGTTGTTGTCTTTGCTGTTCTAAGTAATGTTTTTTTTTGGCGTTTTTTATTATGTAGGTGAAAGAAGGACGGAAAAAGTGTAAGGAAAAGCAGGAATAAAAATGAGAGACAAATAAACGACAAAAAGGGTTATAAAACAGAAGAACGAGAGAGAGAGAGAGAGAGAGAGTAGTTTGAGAAATAGAGTGAGAAAGAGATAGATAGATAGAGAGGGAGGGGGGGGGAGAGCGAGAGAGAGAGAGAGAGAGAGAGAGAGAGTAGTTTGAGAAATAGAAAGAGTGAGATAGCGATAGATAGATAGAGATAGAGAGAGGGAGGGGGGAGGGAGAGAGCGAGAGAGAAAGAGAGAGAGAGAAAAAAAATAGAGAGAGTGAGATAGAGATAGATAGATTGATAGAGAAAGAGGGAGGGTGGAGGGAGAGAGCGAGAGAGAGAGGAGAGAGAGAGAGAGAGAAGAGAGAGAGAGAGAGACGAGTTTAAGAGAGAAAGAGAGAGAGAGAGAGAGAATTAGAGAAAGAGACGAGTTTAAGAGAGCGAGAGAGAAAGGAAGATAGATAGATAGATAGAGAGAGAGAGAAAGAGAGAGAAGGAGAGAGACTCAGCCACAAATCCCAACCCTAAGCAGCGTGCGTACATGCGCGCGTGCAACCCCTCCCCATCCCCCCCACCCCCAACCTCACACTCACCCCCCACGCCCCCCCCCACACCCCCCCCACGCCCGCAGGAAGCCCAATCTCGACCAAAGGATTAGCGAAGCGGCGCCGTGGAGGGAATCTGTGACAAAACCGCCGCCGCGCTCTCTCATCAGCGCTGAGTGTGTGTTTAAGCGAGGAAATTTGTGACTCTCCGGCAAACAAATCTTGGCTGACTGCAGGCACTGTGCTTGCTCGCTCGGGAACTCTTCAAGATGGAGGGGGAGCTCGCACGCAGATGTGCTTGCGTGTGTGGAGAGGGGCACACGCACGCAAATTTTGACTTGATACTTAAAACACACGTACACGCTCACGCACACACACACACACACACACACGCACACACACACACACACACACACACACACACACACACACACACACACACACACACACACACACACACACACAAACAAACAAACAAACACACACATTCAAGGATCATGTTTTCTTAGCATATCGATCGAGCCGATTAAACTGTAAATATCTATCATGATTTGCAAATGTTCTTTACTTAATTATGATTGAAAGTGACAGCACAATGCAGTGAAGCAAGGACATTAATTATATCAGTCAAGAATAAACAAAAGTAAACATGTCAAGAAAGAAAATGAAGTGTGATTAATTTGTAGGGGAGACTGAACTAAATTTATCTGTTCTCTCTCTCTCTCTCTCTCTCTCTCTCTCTCTCTCTCTCTCTCTCTCTCTCTCTCTCTCTCTCTCTCTCTCTCTCTCTCTCTCTCTCTCTCTCTCTCTCTCTCTCTCTCTCTCTTCTCTCTCTCTCTCTCTCTCTCTCTCTCTCTCTCTCTCTCTCTCTCTCTCTCTCTCTCTCTCTCTCTCTCTCTCTCTCTCTCTCTCTCTCTTCCTCCCTCTCCTTTTCTTTCTCTCTACAAAATTTTCTTAAATGATTTTTTTCGTTCTATTTTGGGAAAGTTCGTATGTTTGGTGTTTAACGAGTCATCCGGATTGATATGATCATACAATTATTTGCAAGATATGAAAGCAGTTTTCTAATTTTGGTATTGATGAAGAACCCAATAACTAAAATTCGGCAAATGAGAGAGAGAGAGAGAGAGAGAGAGAGAGAGAGAGAGAGAGAGAGAGAGAGAGAGTGAGAGAGAGAGTGAGACAGACAGACAGACAATCAGACAGACAGACAATCAGATAGACAGACTGACAGACGAACAGATAGACAGACCGACAGGCAGACAGACAGACGGACAGACGGACAGACCGACCGACGGACAGACATGCACACAGACAGAGAGATGAACAGACAGACAGACAGACAAAAAGACAAACGGAGAGACAGACAGACAGACAAACAAACGGACAGACAAACAGAGAGACAGATAGACAGACAAACAAACGGACATACAGACAAACAGACAGACGAACAGACAAACGGCCATACAAACAGACATACAGACAAACGGATAGACAGACATCACGAAAAACTTGAAATCTAGAGTTTAAAACACATGCACCCCACCTTTAAAAAAAAAACTAGGACCCCTTTCAAGTTCCCTTCATGTTTAAAGCTTCATCATAAATTGCACTGTGTTACTTACATGAGTTTGGAAATACACGGACATATTGACTCGGATTGAGGAAATTACCTTCTCGACACAGCGATAGTCTCTGGATGAAATATTGCATCGTGCAGTATAAGGTTGCAGTGCTAAATCAATTGCTTTTAGATTTCTTGCATGTTCAAGGTTATTTGAAAAGGGGTATGTGATGTATCTATCTGTATTATCAAAGAGGGTGGCGTTATCTTCGATAGGTTGTGGATAGTTTTTATTTATAATTTGATTCCGACCTGTTGGGAATATTTTACTACTGCCACTACACGCAGATGTGTATTGATTATATATACATATATTTTTTTAGATATATTTATTTTCATTCATGACTGTGAAGCATTTTTTTTGAGAATGTTTAGGTTGTGTGAAAACGTGTAAAATTATCATAAGTGATTTGAGGATATATTACTCTTCTTATACACTCCTCTATGTCTGTCTGTCTGTCTCTCTTTCTTTCTTTCTCTTTCTCCCTCTCCTTCTCTCCATCTCCCCCCTCGCTTTTTCTCACTATTCTCCTTCCCTCCCTCCATTATTATCTCCCCCCCTCTCTCTCTCTCCCTCTTTCTCCTCCCTCTTTCTCTCTCTCTCTCTCTCTCTCTTGCTCTCTCTCTCTCTCTCTCTCTCTCTCTCTCTCTCTCTCTCTGTCTCTCCTCCCCCCCTCCTCTCTCTCTCTCTCTCTCTCCCCTCACTCTTCTCTCTCTCT